AGCAAGGTGTGCGTAGTTCGTAGATTCCTTCGCTGGCTAGATTGTACAATTCATAGATTTTTTTAAAGTTAAAACATACTGCTGTGTAAATGGATTCTTATCAAATATTTTTGGTTAGAAACTTTATGTTTTTGCTATCTAAATTTTTTGTTTTTGTTTAGGATTTTTAGCTGAAATTGTGTGTTCAAAACGTGGTTTTTGCATATGCAAAAAACCGGGTTTTTGGAGACATTTTAGAGTTCGTTCTTAAAGTTCGAAATGTACACAAAAAATTTAGATAGTAATATGTTACCGTGGAGTTTCTGGTCGAAAATATTTGGCAAGAAATTTGAAAGGGCACATATAAGAGTAGTTCCAATTTATTTAAATATAATACAGGGCTCTAATATTTGGTGGCAACAATTTGAAAAGTGAACTGACATTTATAGTGAATCAACACAAAATGCCAATATGAAATTAATAGTCCTTCTGGGCAAATTGGCCCTTTGGACTAATAAATATGAAATTCAAAAATATGAATTACTACTTTTATAAAACAAAAGAATAAATTAAAGAAAATTATATGTTTAAAATTCACTGAACTGTAATTAACTAGTTTTGCACTAGCAAAAAATATCCATTTGGAATATAATATATAGATCGGAGGAGGGACCAAAAATATCATTCCTAGTGTAAGAATTATTTTAATTAAGGCATAAAATTCTGGTACTTTTTTATTAAAGGGTGCCCCTTTGCATCAAATGTAAACATCGGCTTTAAATCTAACTAGATGGCAGGAACTGCAGTGATAGATAAAGCTCATAGAAAGAATTACTAGAAAACACTACAGCAAACTTGAAAAAAAAAAAAAAGAAAAAAAAAAAAAAAAAAAAAAAAAAAAAAAAAAGAAAAAGAAAAACCACAATCTCTGTGATATAATATAATGTTTAATATGCACATTGCTGAATTTGTGCAATTCTCTGATATTTTTAAGCAAAAATAAATTGTTATTTGATGGAGAGAATGAAACTGTTATTTTCATAATAGAGCATATTGCAATAATAATTCATATTATTTATACGTGCATTGTGTATAATGTGATTGTTATAATGCTTGTGCTTGACACATCACATAACTTAGAGTGCCATATAAAAATTACGATATGTTGCTTATTCATATTTACCCTCATTATTACTTTATACGTAACTAATAATAATTCTTCTCTACACATTTTAATGGTTTACATTTTCAATTTGTTAGAAAGTACACTAAGAGCAGTAGTCATATTAAATTAGCACATGTTATTTTCCAGTATAGTATAGGTATTACATCCTATCTAGTATACTATGAAGCATCTGAATTTCACACAGCACCTGGCAGAGAAAATCAAGAAGTTCTTCAGCAAGTCAGAACAATTACAATGACATTTCTGATATAAGTGGAGCAATCTTACGATGACTGCTGTATTTTCTACTTAAACGTCTTAGTGTTAGGCATATATCACAGAGCTGGTTTAACTTATATTTAAGAGTGCCCCTTGGATTATCGCAAAGTTGTTGTTTCATTTATGGTAACTTGAGTAGTTGAATGTTATAGAAACCCTGTTATGATGTGAGTGCAGTGAATTTGACTGATGGGAAAATATTTGTTGGATGTCAGTTAGGAAGCACATCACATATTGCCTGTTGTACATCATAAAATGGCTACCGGTGGTAAAGTGAGTATCTGGTGGTATAAAACAAGAGAGCAGGAGGTGTTTTTTTTAAGTGGTTGAGGACAAAAGTAACTTTGTTGGATGTAATTATAAGTGTCCTATTTGTACAAAGGGAATTCGTATGGTTGAATGGATTTCTTGCAAGAAAGGCTCAAATGCTCACCATATAATGTTCCATTAGAAAGGGAACATGGTTTGAGGAAAGTTTTTGGATGATGTTAAGGAATTTTGTGAGCCACAAACTGCAGACATGGAAATTTCTAAATAAGGTAAGTGCTCAGATGCTATAAGAAAAAGTTCCTTTTTGATTTAAAACATAGTTTATTGAGATTATATATATTGTTTTGTTTGGCTCTCGTGTAGAATTGGGTGCTCCTTTGACTTTTTAAGTCAAAATAAATCGATGTGTACATGGACAAAGTCAAGGGAGTGTGCAATGCCGAGTTTGTGCAATTCTCTGATGTTTTTTGAAGTAAAAATAGATCGATGTGTTCATGGACACCGAGTTTGTGCAATTCTTTGACTTGTTATTTGGGTTTTGTGTAGTGGCCATTTTGATACAGCAGTTTGCTGGCCAATCACCAAAAATTGCCAAGGAGCACCTTGAAATATATTTTTACCCAGAGTTGATCGATTAGTGCAGCTTAATTGCATATTATTAATCGCTGAGTTCACAAACATCTTTTATAATGCCATCAATGTAAAATTAAATTAAATTTAACCACAATACCTTCTAATGATAAAAATTAAAGCACAAAAGATTATTAAAATCAAAACATATTTTCCAATAGCAGGAACACTTTACCTTTCCATAATATACTAATATCACTCAAAATTAACTATCAAATTATCTTCCATGAATAGCAAAATAGCTAAATTCTGCTGAAAAAGGACATGAAAGCTTTTACATACAAATTATGATTATTATTCTTCTTTACTACCAAATTTTGCTGGAATATTTTTTTCCTAATTTGAAGCTTGAAAGGGTGATGTAAACTAAGAAATAAACGATTGCCATTTCGGTACAACTCTGATATACGCCCTAATTTCACCAAATGTGGCTATATGTGTTCTGCGCTGGTTTTTGGCACGATTGCGTGTTGTATGGCAACCCTGTTGATGTTGAAAAATCTTTAGCTGGAGTTAGTTGGTTCGCATCAAGCTAGGGGGAAAAGATAAAATGGTGGAAGTTGTTGAATTGAAGTTCGGCAAAAGGAAATATCGTCGTGGCCATCCTGTTGAGGGGCATGGGTATTTGGAGGTGTGGAAAGAGGGTCTGAGAGATTATTTTTAGTGGCTGTGCATGTTAGAAGTAGGGATTTGTGATTATTTGTTATTTTATTTATTTGTGAACCATAGTATGAATTTTCTGGATAGTGTGTCTGGCTGTCATATAAATACGATAGTGATTACGTGGCAGCATGTTAAAGGCAGTATGAAATTGGTATTTCTGCTGTTCGAAAAAGCATTAATTCATGGTAAGTGCATTTTACTTTGTTCTTGTTCTTATTTTGTAGAATGTTATGTTCATTGTTTTTTTAGTATGAATTTCTGTCGTTATTGTTGTTTGTTTGAAATTTATTTTAGTTATTTTATTTTGTTTTTTGTTTCGGATTTTTAGCTTAAATTGTGTGTTCAAAACGTGGTTTGCATTTGCGAAAACCGTTGTTTTTGTTTGTTTTTTGA